AGCGGCAGCAGCAGCAGCCGCAGCCACAGCGGCCGCCGTCGCAGCAGCCACTCCTCCCAGTTCCTGTCCCTCCCCCTAGTCTCCTCCCTGCGTCTCACCAGGTGGTTCCGTCCCCTCAGGTTGTCGCGTCCAGTCCAGTCGCTGCGTCTTGCTCCTGTCGGTCGCTTGCCCACCCCACCGTTCTGTGGCACCACCGGATGGGACACCCTTCTCTTCCACGTCTGCGTGCTATGTCTAGTCAGCGTCTGGTCTTAGGTCTCCCGCGTGTCTTGCCGTCGCTGCCGCCGTCCCTTGCACCACCGTGCGGTCCTTGCGTCGAGGGTAGGCTGCGTGCCACCCCTCACTCCTCCTCCCTTCGTCCGGCCACCGAGCCTTTTGAGACGCTGCACTTGGACGTCTGGGGCCCCTCTCCTTGCCCTGGCCCTGAGCGTGAGCGTTTCTTTTTGGTGGTCGTTGACGACTACTCCCGCTATACCACAGTGTTCCCCCTGGCGAGGAAGTCTGAGGTGACTTCTACGCTGATCAGGTGGTTGCTTACCACCCAGGACACTCGTGGTCGTCGTGTCAGCTGTCTCCACTCCGACCGCGGGGGCGAGTTTCGCTCCGGCATTCTCGCTGGATTCTGTCGCGAACAGGGCATTCGTCAGTCCTGGACGCTTCCGGAGTCCCCACAGCAGAATGGGGTTGCTGAGCGTCGCATAGGCCTGGTCATGGAGATTGCCCGCACCTCCTTGACTCACGCCCGTGCCCCCCATTTCCTGTGGCCATTTGCAGTCAGGTACGCCGCGCACCAGCTGAACCTCTGGCCACGCGTCTCTCGGCCGGAGGCTTCACCGACCAGTCTTTGGACAGGGTCCCCTGGTGTCGCGTCGAGGTTTCGTGTCTGGGGGTGCTTGGCTCTTGTCCGCGACACCTCCGCGGACAAGCTCTCGCCTCGCGCCGTTCCTTGTGTCTTCCTTGGTTTCCCTGAGGACTCCTCTGACTTCACCTTTTACCACCCTCCCTCTCACCGGTTCTTTGACTCCCGTGACGTCCGTTTCGAGGAGTCCACCCCGTGACACAGCACCTCTGGTGGTCACAAGGCGGAAGCGCCTTGGTGAAGATGTCTGCAGTGTTGGCCTCGGACTCCACAAACTCAAAGCGAGCCTGTCCACGCCTCTGCAACTCTCGCAGAAGAAAGTACCTGACGTGAATGTGCTTCACTCTGCTCTCCAGTCGTGGCTCTCGACAAAGGAGAATAGACGCCTTGTTGTCAGTGAACAAGGTCGGTGCAGAGCTCGGCCGCTCACCAAGGTCGGTGAGCAAGAAGGTCAACCAACGCAGCTCCTGTGCCGCCATGGCACCAGCGTAGATCTCAGCCTCAGCTGTAGAGGTCGAGACCGAAGAGGAGCGCGTGGACCGCCAGGAAACAGCTCCAGAACCCAGGCTGAAACAGTACCCCTGAGTAGACCTGTGAGTCTCAGCGTCGTCAGCGTAAGAGGAGTCACAGTGACCAGTAAGTACAACAGACTGCTGCCCTCCAAGAACTAGCCCCACGCCTGACGTCGTCGCTAGGTACTTCGCCACCCTCACAGCTGCTGTCCAGTGAACAGGACGGTGTCTCCCTGGCGCAACAAAGCGCGCAAGAACGCTGAGAGGGAAGGTGAGGTCCGGGCGAGTACAAGTCATCAGGTACATGAGGCAACCCACAAGCTCAGCGTAGGGACCACTAGGCTCGAACGGCTCGTCAGGAAAGGGTCCAGTGAGTCTGTGGTCAACAGCAAGAGGTGTGCGCTGTACTGTGGAGTGCTGAAGCCCGAACCGCTGAAGGACCTGCTGCACCATGTGCGACTGTGAAAGTGTAATGGTGCGAGCAGCTCTGTCCCTGGTGATCTGCAGGCCAAGGTAGTGGCGCAGCTCACCAAGATCAGTGCAGGTGTGTCTCTTCTGCAGTTCGGACTTCACGTGTGCCAAAGCAACCCTGTCAGGGGTGGCGAAAACAAGGTCGTCAACGTAGACCAGAACAAAGAAAGGTGTGGGGCCACGACGAACGAACAGCGACGGGTCAGCAGAAGACGGCTGGAACCCAAGGTCAGACAGGGTAGAACGCAGGGTGTCGTGCCACTCACGAGGAGCCTGACGAAGACCGTAAACCGGTCGCCTCAGCCTCCACTGGGTCCCAGGAGGGAAAGAGCCAGTGAAGGCAGAGGGACGACGCAACCAGACCTCCTCGTGAAGACTGCCCTGAAGGAAAGCAGTAGAGAAGTCGAGAGAGTGTAACTCGTAGTCTCTCTGTGCTGCTACGTGTAGTAACACCCGAAGAGTGGTCATCTTCGGGGTGGGCGCGAAGGTCTGAAAGAAGTCAACTCCCTCGCGCTGACTGAAACCTCTAGCCACGTAGCGCGCCTTGAAGACCGGAGGAGATCCCGGTGGCCGCTTCACCCTGTAGATCCACATGCCGTCGACTACGTTCGCCCCCGGAGGGGGAACCTCATCGACGTAGGTGCCTGTGGATCTGTAGGAGGCCATCTCTGCGTCCATGGCAGCTCTCCACTGAGAGGCCCAAGGCCCTGACACTGCCTCAGCGTAAGTACGAGGAGTCGGAATGTCAAGGGCGTCGGGGTCACCCTCAGGGGCGAGGAGCATGGCACAGAGATGAGGGGAAGCGGCCGCCAGGAACTCTAGCTCAAACTGCCTGTCCTCTAGGGCGTCACAGCCAAGGGCAGACACACCCCCGACGGCCAGAGGACTGGAAGGAGGAGCTGCCACAAGAGCGGTGGCGAAGTCAAGGCGGCGGGTAGAGGCAAACTCAGTGACTGCGGCAGTAAGAGCGGACACAGAGGACACAGAGGCACGAGGGTGGGTAACAAGAGAGGCGAGAACACGAGAGAGAACAGGACGGTACGTGCGGTAGTAGTCAGTGACAGGAGAAGGAAGCGACACAGTGAGGGCCGACTCAGGAGGAGACGGAAGCACAGACGGAGACGGACGAGGTGGACGAGAACAAAGGAAGGCTGTACGAAGGTCAGTGAAGGGAACAGGAGACGAGGGACGAGCACGAGGGGAGCGACGAGAGGCCCAAGTCTGAGAAGGAGGAGGAGACAACGAAGACTGAGAACGAGGGAAAACAGCGGGAGAGGGGTCAGGAGGAGGAAGCGGAGGACCAGAGACGGGAGGAGAGGGGGAGGAGGAAGGAGAGGGAGACGGGAGACCAAGGGTCCGAAGACCCGAGACAGGAGGAGGAGACGGCAGCAGCTGCTGCTGCTGCTGCTGCTGCTGCTGCTGCTGCTGCCGCGGCTGCTGTGGCTGCTGCTGCTCCAGCGGCTGCTGCCTCTGCTGCTGCTCCTGCTGCTGTCGCTCCTGCTCCTCGAGCCGCTGCAACTCTCTCTCCTCTCTCTCCAACTCCAGCTGCTCCTCACGAGCACGGCGAACACGAGCCTGGAACCTGGTCGGGTAGGGGTGGGGGGAAGGAGTAGTGTCCGGGGCAGCGGCAGCCCCAGAGTCGACCTCCGAAGCACCAAGCACACCACCCCCAGAGGCAGCACCAACACCAGCTCCAGACCCAGGCTCTCCAGAAACCGAAGGGACACCCTCACCCCCAGACGCAGCACCCCCAGACTCCGCACCAGCACCCCCAGACTCCGCACGACCAGTACCAGCCCCCGGAAGACAAGAGTCCTCTGCAACCCGCGGCTCAGCTCCAACTCCAGCACCCCCAGAACCAGAGACCTGTACAGGGACAGTCGCAGGACCAACCTCCCGAGAGGGAGCACCTGCAGGAGGCGGCGAGGAAGACTGTGGGGAGGGAGGCTGTACAGGGGGGGCTACCGAAGGGGGAGGGCTAGCCTGAGACACACCAGACGGGGGTGCTGTGTGCAGTTAGGCCTTGTTGACACTGGTTCTCGTGTTGCTTAGGCTTGAGTGTACTGTTTACTTTGCTTTCTATATACCTCTGTTACTTCTTGGACTGGCCTTGTGGCCACTTTTGTTTGTGCTCAGACTGTGTGGTGACGTTGTGATCCACCCTGAGCTTCGTTTCTTGGACTGGTCTTGTGACCGTACTCGTTTGGTTCTGCTAGACACCCCTCACTTAGGCTATGGGGGTGTGTCAAATGTTGTAGCCTATAGTGAGGTTTGTCTTAGGGGGTACAAAACTTAGGGTTAGCTATATGTACCCCAACCAACATCAATGCATCATCCATTCCTCATTCTGACACTTTCCAGCTGACGTCGGCTTTCCGGATCGGAAGTTTCCGTGTAAGCCAGAAGTGACGGTGCTGACGTCATCCGAATCAAACGCGCGATAAAGACAGCAGCACTCTCTCTAGTGAAAACGATTGATAACTGGTAATATGAAAAACATATATACAACTATTTCTGTTTGAAAACTTCTATTATTCCTTTACTTCCTATCATGTATACAAACCATCATCCTCATTTTGGTTTCAGGTTCAACATAAAAAAAAAAACATAAAACGAAAATATTATACAAAGCCGAGTTTCATATCAAAACATAAAAGAACACGCATTTTATTTAAATCCAAATATAACAAACAGATTAACGTCTCTCAAACTTCAAACGCATGTTAAAAATTGTTGCTTCGCAACCCTAAGACGATTTCGTCGGCTCGTTTTTTTTTCCAAAGATGCTTTTAGCATTTCCCTAATCCTGTTCCACTGTATTTACCGTAATCATTCCCTTTACTGGCTGTGAGCCTTTTGTTTTATGGCACTAGCTCTCACCAAGAAAGTACATGCGCTAAAACTCAACATTAACTACGAAAGCTCTGATTAGTAAACTATACAGAATTACGTACCCCTGTAAGAGGTTAAGTATAGGAAGCCTACAGTCACAGCAGATAAACACTACACAAAGCACGCAACTACCATATAAGCAGCTCAAAAACAAGCAAAAGACACACCCGCACACCCGCTAAGGGTAGTAATGGCTCTCTTGTAGTCCAGTAGCCAGCAGCTACAGACACATGATCACCAGCTCGTATACGCCAATTCACTTTGGCATGTACCGTGTAATAAGCTATGTCAGGAAATTGACCAGCTCACATACCCATGTATGTATCAGGCATGGCCTGTATCAGCCACGGCCTGTATCAACCACGGCCTGACTGCAGCCACTGACCATGCTGCATTCCTCGCTCACATTTGCACCAGAGGCGTCAGCTGTTGCTGCTGCTGGTGCTGCGGGTGCGTTCGGGCCTGCTTGGGGCTATGAACAAGCCCCTTTGGAAGGTGTAGCAACGGTGAGGCAGACCCACACCTAGCTGTTGCAACTACTGGCTGTTGCTGCTGCTGCTGCTGCTGGTACCAGAGGCACCACCACGTTTTGCTGCTGCTGCTGCGGCTGCAGTGGCACTCGCTGCTGCTGTTGCAGCTGCGACTGTGGCTGCTGCTGCTGCTGCTGCTGCGGCACCGATTTCTCCTGCTGTAGTTGCTTGCAGTTGGGGAGCACAAGCAGAGGAACCGCATTGCACCTTCGTGGACTCCTCGTGCTGATGCTCCCACCGTTGCAAGCCACCGTGAGGATGGCAGCAGCAACTGGCTGTGAAGGCATTGGAACAGCCATCTTAGGCACAGCAACAGCCGGAGCAGTAGGAGGGACGGCAGCAAAAGCAGGAGCAACAGTGAAAGCAGGAGCAGCAGTGAAAGCAGGAGCAGCAGTGAAAGCAGGAGCAACAGTAGGAGCAGCAGCGAAAGCAGGAGCAGCGACAGTCGAGGCGGAAGCAGCGGCAGCAGAGGTGGCAGCATTGGTATTAGAAGAAGCAGGAGGTTTCTGTTGAAGAGGAGAACTAGCAACCACCTTGGGGAGGCACAGCATTGGCAGGCGAAGGGCAGGCACGTTGGTTGGGCCAGCAGGCACAGCAGAGCATAGCACAGGTGGCTTTGCAAGCGGAGGTGTGGCAGCGGGAGCAGCGGCTGCAAGGGCAGGGGCTGCAGCTGTGGCCACAACTGCCGCAGACGGACGGGCGCTCACACGCAGAGCCACCGGCCGTGAGATCACAGGTGTGGAGGAAACAGGAGGTGCAGCAGGAGCAGCAACAGCAGGAGCAGCAGGAGGAGCAGCAGCAGGAGCAGCAGCAGGAGCAGCAGCAGGAGCAGCAGCAGCAGGAGGAGGAGGAGGAGCGGTATGAGCTGCAGGAGGAGCAGCGGGAAGAGCAGGAGGAGCAGCAACAGCAGCAGGAGGAGGAACTGGAGGAGCGGGAGGAGAGGGAGGAGCAGGGGCAGCAGGCGAGCAAGAGAGCGTCAATGCACATGCAGATGATTCCTCGACGCGCCCAGGCCCACCAACCGCACCACCACCACCAGCAGCACCACCACCAGCAGCAGCAGCACCAGCAGCAGGAGCGGAGGCAGCAGCGGAAGGGGATGATCCGCCACTGGAGCAGGCTCGGGAACAAGTCCCGGAGATCATCACGGAATTCCCGGAGGTCCCGGGTGACCCGGAGGGCTGACTTGCATTGCCAAGCTCAAGCCAATCGCCACTCTTCTCCCCCTCACTCTCCGCCCGCTTCTCTTCCTCCGCCGCCCCCCCCAGCCGCGCCACCTCCTCCGCCTCCCCCGCGAGTGCTCCCCGGGCTTCCGCTAGCAGCGGCAGTAGCTCCGGAACCTCCCCCTTACTCGCTGCGCGCTGCACGCTCACCCCTTCGAGCCGATTCGCCTGCACCGCGGCGCCGCCGTCCCCGCCTATCACGGAGCCCGCCTGCCCGCCAGCCACTCCCGCCGCGTCGCGCGTCTCGATCGCGGTGGCTTCAGCCGCCGCGCCTGCCGCTGCGTCCGTCGCTACCGTAGAGTCCGCCGCGCTTGGCGGAGCCAATAGGAGCGAAGCGGCGGCCATTTCGCAGTCCGTATGGCATTCGTCCGGCTCCACGTCGTGCTCCGTTTTAAGCCGCTTCGCAACGGCCATAATAAGCGCCACCTCGTCTCGACTGACGGCGTCGCCCTTGCGCTTCTTCCCCGCGCCAGCCCCCGCGATCGTCAAATCCGCGCCCCAATCCAGCGCGCGGCTCTCCCGCGCGCTCAGAACCTCGTCATCGGGAGATTTTCCGCCGTTGCTAGCGCCGCCGCCGCCGCCGCCGCGGCATTCATCGTCGGACATGCTTTCCGAGCCGCATCCAGCCCACCCTTCGTCCTTACTCGCGGCCGCGCTTTGCTCGTCCGCCTGCTCGCTTCCCTCGTGCTCGTTGTCGCTGCATCTGCTGCTGCTGCCGCTGCCGCACGCGCCCGTCCCCTTTTCCGCCACTCCCGCTCCCATCTCCGCCAGCCGGGGGAAAACGCACGCGCTGTTGTCTCCGCGCCCCTGCCACCGGCGAAAAGCGCTTCCGCCGCCGCCGCTGCCGCCGCCGGGCTTAATCACCGAAGCAAACCCGAAACCCGTACCAATAGGCCGGTTCGAAGCCCAGGAAATCTGACTGCCTTCTTCTGATTCGTCCTCGCCCGTCGGAATCATCACCGGTACCCGCTCGTCTGCTCCTTGACGGCTAACCGCTTCGGATGCGGCGGCGACGGCAACGGCCGCCATCAGCGCGTCGGCTCGCGCGCCGGCGGCCGTCGACGCTGTCGGCCGTTCCAAACGGTGGCCGTTGGAGAAGCTCGCCGACAGCGACGCAGCTGGCACGGATCGGACGGACGGCAGGTCCGTGGCGGCAGCGGCAGTGGCGGCGGCGGCGGCGGTGGCAGCCTGTACGCATGCGGGAAGTTGCAACTTCATAGGCAAGGCAGCGGGGACAGGAGGCTGGTTGTTATGCGACAGATTCTGCGACAGGTTCTGCGACAGCGCTTCTGCTGATTGGACGACGGTTTGCGACGGATGGATTCTGCTCCAAAAGCACCCGTCAACTGCGGCGGAAGTGGCGGGGTCGAAGGGCGGCTGAAATCCAGGATACACGGGGCGCAGCGGAATAACGTGCGACGCAGAGGGAGTGGAGATTAACTCCCACGGCAAGTTTCGCAAGTCGACGCGTTTGGAATCCCCCCGCTCGACGACAACCGTGTGAAGGGCCTTTTTCGGGTCGAATTTCGTCACAGATCCCATGTGCCAGCGGCCGTCGCGCGGCCATAGCAGCCGAAGTTGCGAGCCGATGGGCAGACGGACGGCTGGATCTTTCCTTGACGGGTGCCCCCGTTTTTTCGATTGTTGCTTCAAATCCATGGCGATGGGATGGAGGATTCAGTGGTAGAGTGCGAATCCCGATCGGAAGTAAGTTTCGCGGGGAATACTAGACGAGGCAGAATTGTTTAGTTGAACTGGCAGGGCGTGGAACACGAGTTTGAGGGAAAGGTTAGGGACGAAGAGCGTGAATCTGCTAGTCCAGTGTTGCGTGGATTCAGTTTGGTCTAGGGCTTGCTTGAGGGAGGACTTCTCGAGGAGAATCAACTCAACTCTCGGCGCTGCTGATGGAAAATCTCGTGAAAGCTTACTCGTTTCAGGGGGATTCTGTGTGTGCTGCTTGTGATGTATCGCCGCGAGAAAATGACGGGAGCCCGCCTTGCCAAAAGATGAGCGCAGGGTGATGGTGATGTCAGTCACATGTGTGATGGGGGGATGGATGGATGGATGGATGGATGGGGGGGAGGGCGTAGGCGGAATGGTGGGGGAAGGGGAAACGGGGAAGGGAGTGCGGAGGGTGTCTCCTTCCATTTGTTGTTTGACCAGAACAAAAAACTTTTCCATACGCCGCTCTCACCAAGCAACAGCCAAAGGTTGCAATGGCTCAACGAAACGACATTTTTTTCTTCCGGTCTGCGGGCTCGGATCACAAGCCCCTGGTCTCCCGCGTCAGAAGCACCCTTGCGCCTCACTTAGCGCATCCCGCGGCGCCTTTTCCAACGCCTCTCGCTTGCTCGCCCTCCTCAGCCAGCCTAGCGCCCCTCCGAATTTGCCGACACGGGCATCCGCGCAACGAGCAGGCGCGCTTCTCTACCTCGTCACCGTCCTGATTATTGTTGTCTGATGGGGCCTGCTTGGCGTTTGTGTTTGGGGCAGAAGGAGCTGGCGGAACTTGAATCAAGATGCTGAGGTCAGCCAAACGCCGAACCATAATGTTTTTTTAGCCAAGTGTATGGAATTCTGGTACACTGCTCCACGAGAACCGTCACTTCGATGTTATTTTACTTCCAGATTGACAGCGAAAGACCGACCCGTTTCTGCCCGGTCATCTCCTCTCGTCAGGGGCGTTCCCCCGCTTCGCGCCCCGCGGACCCGAGAACGACTCCGATGGTTCGCGCGAATCGCGAGGGCTGTCACTGCCAACCAATCCAGCCCCATGCCAAACGCGTTCCCAAATGGGCTGCACCCCAAGTCCCCCCTCTTCCCCACCAGGACCCCGCAACTCTGCCCGGAAACGCGCTCCTCCTCTTCTCCTTTTCCCCCTACTTCCCCGTTCCCCCACCTTTCCCCCTCCATCTACCCCTCCCGCCCCCAAAACCACCCCCGCCGAACCCCCATGAGGTTGTTCAGAAACTCATTGGCGGGTGGGATTCAGCCCAAAATGCATGCCCCTCGTTCGCATCTGCATGACGCATGTGCTTCCCCCCTGAAAGGGTGTGCGCAGATCCTTCCCTGCCAAAGGGCGCAGAAAGCCACGATGCTGGCGTGGTATCTCCAAGCCGCTTCTGCGGAGCGTCGTTCGTGTCGAAATTTACACCGAGACGAAAATTGGTCTGGTGCGAAACAAACCTGCCCGAGGCCCTTCGAGTCGCGAAACCAGCTGACCACCAGAACGCGGAACCGCCACTCCCGTAAAATAAAATACAAAAAATTGCCCGAAAGATACTTCTCCCCCAAGGTTGCAGAAGCTGCACAGATTTATTGGAGCAGCTGCGGGCTTCCAATTGGGTTTTGCCACTGGGAAGCCTGTCCCACTTGAGTAGAGCAGCCTTTCGATTGGTCGTTACGAATCTCCTACTGGCCTTGGCTTTGGCGCCCACAGCGCCAAGCTCTGCAGCGCGATCCGTCAGTCAATCGAAGGCGCATCGGAACCACAAACAATTGTTGGAGGGGAAGGGAAACCGCCATTGAAAAAGGCTTGAGCATCGGCGAGTCAAGACAAACGGAATACATCCTCTTTACTAGCCACACCCCAAGCAGCTGCCGCTTTGTACAATGCACATGTATGCGGATAAATAGTCTGTTCTCCGAGCCATCGCATCTTAGTCTTCAGTTAAGATCATTAGACATATTTTAGTAACAGAAAGAATATAGTAAAAATATCTTTGCTTCCGTTGGTGCTAACGGATGAGACTCATCATGCAAATATATATGATTACCATAGTATTTCCCTTTCTTGTAAGTATTTCCACAATGTGCCTGTGATGAAATCGAAGGCGCAAGAGGTGGGTTAAAGCGGCGGTATACATTTGGCAGGGGAAAGGCCAAAAGTTTATAAAAGGTACATGGTGGTAACCAAATTACAGGGTCCCTCGACTTCTGACAGCGACCAGCCCAACCCCTCTCACCCGACTCACTCGTCAAAAGTTTATACCTAGCCAAAAGTATACTGAAGGACATGCATCCTCTCCACTATCCCCACTCCCATAGCGTTCTTAGTCATCACTAAAAAGGTAACTTCGAAAAGCACTGCAAGCCATTGTGATTATAGCGCTTCTCACGCTTAGGTCATACGCCGACAGAGACATATCTTCGTGGAACTAATACACGGAGCATTTCGCATCCAAAGTGAGGATGCATCCGTGGCGGCGCCTTGGCCAATCTCTTTTCTGCGGCCCGATTCCCCTTCGCCGACGCCCGATTCCCCTTTCCCGTCGCCTGATGCCCCTTCCCGCCGCCCGGTTTCCCTTTCCCGCCGCCGCGAAACCCCAGTCACGCTGCCCGATTCCCCTTCCCGCCCGCTTCGCCCTCGACCTCCCTGTTCTCCCCCCCGATTCGTTCTTTCCCGTCGCCCTACTTTCCCTTTCCCGTCGCCCGATTCACGTTCCCCCCCCGCCGCCCGGGTCCCCATTTCCGCCGCCCGAATCCCCTTCCGCGCCGCCCGGTTCCCCTTTCCCCGCCCATTTGATTCGGGGCGGGCCGCCCGACCGCCCCTTCCCGCCGTCCGATTCCCCTTTCGCGCCGCCGCATTCCCGTTCCCCCCGCCGCCCGATTCCCGTTCCCGCCCCGCTTCCCCTTTCCCCCGCCGCCCGATGCACCTTCCCGCCGCCCGATTCCCATTTCCCGCCGCCAGACTCCCCTTCCCGCCTCGCTATTCCCCTTTCCGTCGCCGACTCCCCTACCCTCCCTTCTCACCCTTGTCTCCCCTACCCCTACCTGATGTCCCTTCCGCCGCTCGACTCCATGATCTCACCCTTTGTCTCCCTTGTCTCCCTTGTCTCCCTTCTCTCCGTTCCCTCCCTTTCTCACCCTTCTCTCCCTTGTCTCCCTTGTCTCCCTTCTCTCCGTTCCCTCCCTTTCTCACCCTTCTCTCCCTTGTCTCCCTTCCTCGCCCTTCACTCCCTTCTCTCCCTGCCCTCCCTTCCCTCCCTTCTCTCCCTTCCCTCCCTTCTCTCCCTTCCCTCCCCGCCCTTCTCTCCCTACCCTCCCTTCTCTCCCTACCCTCCCTTCTCTCCCTTCCCCCCCTACTCTCCCTGAGCCCCCTTCTCTCCCTTTCCGCCCTTCTCTCCCTCCCCGCCCTTCTCGCCCTTCCCTCCCTTCTCTCCCTTCTGTCGCTTCCCGCCCTTCCCGCTCTTCTCACCACCTCTTTGATTTGCCTTCCTGTCCCCCATCCTTCCCTTCCCCCATCCTCACCTCCCCTCCCCTTACCACCTTGTCCCATCTCACCTCCCCTCCCCTCCCCTACCACCTTGTCACATGCGCTCGATGTGCTGGCGCGAGCGTCACATGCGCTCGATGTGCTGGCGGCGTCGCTAAGAAGGCGCGTGCCGCTTTGCTGCGCGCCTTTCGCTGGCGCGCGCTGCTCTGCTGAGCGCGCCTGACGCGCGCTGTGCTGGCGCGTGCGGAATGCCAGCATAGCTGGCGCAAGTTCGGCGCGCGAAGCCGCAGCATAGCTGGCGCAAGTTCCGCGCGCGAACGCCAGCATAGCTGGCGCAATTTCCGCCGAGAAACGCCAGCATATCTGGCGCAAGTTCCGCGCGCGAAACGCCAGCATAGCTGGCGCAAGTTTCGCTCGCGGAATGCCAGCATAGTTGGCGCAAGTGACGCTCGCAGGTGGCGCCTGTAATGCGCATGGCTAATCACTCACCCCCATCTATATATGTGGTCGCGCTGCTGGTTTAGTACCCTCCGGCCCGCGCCAAGTTATTTCTACCTATTATAGTAGCTGTTAGTCGCGACGGTATAAAATACTGCTGGTCTTCATACCGACGGTCTTTCCCATTTTGTGACTCACAACCTTCCCAAACCTGGTTCCCTCACGACAGAAGCGCACCAGTTGTTCGCCAACACTCTCGCAATTCTGTTTTTCCTTTCGTTGAGGCGAAATCACCTTGCACACTGTACAGAAACAACAGTACTGTCAAATGTATACACAAGATGCCCAACCCCTGCACGCAAAATTGCCTCGTACGTTCCAGAAACCTTGCACACGAAGGTTTTTTCCCGGGCAGTTGCACCCACGTTACAAGCACGTCAACCAATACGAACCACAGAAACAGAAGAGACCGAAGTCAAACAGTCAACGGTGAGTTACAAAATTTTGCTATAAGCCCTTTTTGCCCGACGCGAATTGACGAAACCTCCACGAAATGCATGAATCACTTAAGCGCCCCCTTCACAAGGCAACCTTGGGTTAGTCAAACGGACATCGTGTGTACTCCTGCTTTAATGCTTGGGGAGGCTTGCATTTACGTTGATGGCCCAATGGCTTGCCTTGTCGGCGGCATGATGAATGACACTCCAACTGCTGCAACCTCTGTAGCACGCAATAACACCCTGAACCGAACTAAAACGTACTAAACCGTCAATTGGAGTTTCTGAACATCGTTTGCAGGGGTGGTAGCTGATTGCGCCATGAGACAGCACGCAAAATCCAGACGTCAACATCACCACCTAAATTATCCTAGTCGAACTATTGGAACGCACCTCATCTCCACGATAAATACGTACTCTCTAGGCCGTATCCGAACTCACTTCATCTCTACCCGCGCTCGACAGGGCGACAGCACCCCGATAAGCTTTCTTTGCCACCGCAACTGACGTTAATGCTGCCCGTTGAACGCGCCGTCCGCCATGGGCTCTAAGCCACTATTCGTTGCGCGCGATCGCGTTGAGCGAAAGCAAGATGCCGCGCTGTCGCCGTGGCGGGGCCATCGGCAGACACCGCTTCCGTGTTTCTCGGGTCAAGCGGATTCGTTTTTGCTTCGAGCCGCTCGAAACAGATGTCAATTGCAATGTCAACCGCACCTCAAACCACACCTCCGCTTCTTCCGCTTCCTCCGCTTCTTCCGCTTGCGCTTCCTTCTCCCGCTTGTCCTCGCTCTCCTCATCTCTCCAGTATTTCCAGGAGGCCCGGCTCGGTTTGCGGCGGCGCAGACGGCGGAAATCGCGGAATCGCCGGGAAATCCGGAGATCGAGCCGTGGATGGACGGCCTAGATTACAGCGTGATGGATTTCGCCGAAGAGGGGGAGGGGGGAACGGGGAATGGGGTGGGGAACTTGGAGGGGATTGCGGATGGGGAGAGCGGCGGAAACGATGGTTCCGCGGAACCGCGAAAGATGGCGCTAGAGACAGGAAGCGGGGGTGCGGACGTGGCGAGTGCTGATTGGTCAAGAACAGACGGAGAAGGAGGGGGGGAAGCGGAGGAAGGAACAGGGGGAGAAGCAGGAGAAGAAGGCGGAGGGGGGTTCAAGTTAGATTACTACGACTGTGGGGACGACCGAGCTCGAAATTTCTCGCATCCCGATTTAGCTGGTGGGTGGGAGGGTGGGTGGGTGGGTGGGTGGATGGGTGGGTGGATGGATGGATGGATGGATGGATGGATGGATGGATGGATGGATGGATGGATGGATGGATGGATGGATGGATGGATGGATGGATGGATGGATGGATGGATGGATGGATGGATGGATGGATGGATGGATGGATGGATGGATGGATGGATGGATGGATGGATGGATGGATGGCAAACAGATTTATGTTTTTGTGGGTGAGTGCAGATGCAGGGTTTTGAAGCCATGCCATGCCATGCCATGGCATGCCTGGCCTACTCTTCCCTTCCGTGCCTTGCCTCCTCATTGCTGCTCGTGGTAGGGTATCATTTGATTCAATCGTCCTTTGTCCTCCTCTCCTCCCTCCCCCCCTTTTCCCTACTCGTCCCCGTTCCTCATCTACCTCTCCACACCTCTTTCCCTCTGCTGCACCATGCCATCTCCGCTGCTCCCTCCCTCCACTGCTCCCCCTCTCCGCACCTCTCCGCCTCCGCACGTCGCCCCCTCCTCGGGTGTGTGAGCAGGGGCGGTGGAGAGCGGGCGCAAGTTTGTGATGCTGGCAGCAGAGCGAGAGCAGCTCACCAAAGCACGGTGAGCTGATATGAGGAGCAGCAGCAGCAGCAGCAGCAGCAGCAGCAGCAGCAGCAGCAGCAGCAGCAGCAGCAGCAGCAGCAGTTTTCCATGGTGAAATATCAATAGTCCCCCACTCCCCCTCTCGCCCTTTTCCCCTCTCGCCCTTTCCCCCCTCTCGCCCTTTCCCCACTCCCCCCACTCCCCCACTCCCCCCCACTCCCTCCCGCTCCCTTTCTTCCGCTTTATCTCCCCTCTGGGAAGCAGGTTGCATCTGGGAGAGGCGATGACGATTGCAAACCTCACGAATCGCACCTTTGTGCTCACACACGTGGGCAGCAGGTGGGGTGTGGCTGTAACATGCAAGCAAGCAGGCAGGCATGGCATGGCATGGCATGGAAGGGAGGGTAAGATATTTCAGAGTTTTTCAAAGTAGAGGTGAGAGATGAATGAATTGTTAAATGGGCATGAGAGAAGGGGTTTCCATTCTGTCTCTCTCTCTCTCTCTCTCAGCCTGCTAGTCCCCCCCACCCCCACCATCCATTCCCATCCCCTCCCATTCCCTTCCCATCCCCTCCCATTCCCTTCCCATCCCCCACCATCCATTCCCATCCCCTCCCATTCCCTCCCATCCCCCACCATCCATTCCCATCCCCTTCCATTCCCTTCCCATCCCCTCCCATTCCCTTCCCATCCCCTCCCATTCCCTTCCCATCCCTTCCCATTCCCTTCCCATCCCCTCCCATTCCCTTCCATCCCCTCCCATTCCCTTCCCATCCCCTCCCATTCCCTTCCCATCCCTTCCCATTCCCTTCCCATCCCCTCCCATTCCCTTCCCATCCCCTCCCATTCCCTTCCCATCCCCTCCCATTCCCTTCCCATCCCCTCCCATTCCTTCCCATCCCCTCCCATTCCCTCCCATTCCCTTCCCATCCCCTCCCATTCCCTTCCCATCCCCTCCCATTCCCTTCCCATCCCCTCCCATTCCCTTCCATCCCCTCCCATTCCCTTCCCATCCCCTCCCATTCCCTTCCCATCCCCTCCCATTCCCTTCCCATCCCCTCCCATTCCCTTCCCATCCCCTCCCATTCCCTTCCCATCCCCTCTCATTCCCTTCCCATCCCCTCCCATTCCCTTCCCATCCCCTCCCATTCCCTTCCCATCCCTTCCCATTCCCTTCCCATCCCCTCCCATTCCCTTCCCATCCCTCCCATTCCCTTCCCATCCCCTCTCATTCCCTTCCCATCCCCTCCCATTCCCTTCCCATCCCCTCCCATTCCCTTCCCATCCCCTCCCATTCCCTTCCCATCCCCTCTCATTCCCTTCCCATCCCCTCCCATTCCCTTCCCATCCCCTCCCATTCCCTTCCCATCCCCTCCCCTTCCCTTCCCACCCCTGGCCGTCTCCGCGCATTCCAACCCACTCGCATTGGCATGGACCTACCGCACTGCACCTATGTCAACCCTCCCACGTCCCATGCCATCTCCCTAACGCTGTCCCTTCTCATCCCATCCCATTCCCCCTTCTGCTCGCAGTCGCATCGGCATGGACCGCGACCTACCGCTCTGCACCTACTTCAACATTGACAAGATCACGGCGCACATGGAGTGGATCACAGAGGACTACCTTATGGCTGAGATGCATGTGCGTGCGGGTGGGGCCTTTGGGGGGCGTGTGTACGTGTAACCTCCTTCTCGTGTGTGTGCACGCATGTAGTATAACCTATTTCTCGTGTGAGCGCACATACTACGACGAATGGTTGACAAGATCACGGCACACATGGAGTGGATTTCAGAGGACTACCTTATGGCTGAGATGCACGTGCGTGCGGGTGGGGCCTTTGGGGGGCGTGTGCGTGCGGGTGGGGCCTTTGGGGGGCTGTGCGTGCGGGTGGGGCCTTTGGGGGGCGCACATACCACAACGTATGGTTGACCACAACGTATGGTTGACCACAACGTATGGTTGACCACAACGTATGGTTGACCACAACGTATGGTTGACCAGATCACGGCGCTCATGGAGTGGATTACAGAGGACTACCTTATGTCTGAGATGCATGTGCGTGGGCAGGCATGGGTGGGAGAACTGGGATGGGAGGGCATGTGTGGTTATGTGTCGAGTGGATCACAGGGACTACCTTTTGGCTGAGATGCATGTGCGTGGGTCGTCATGTGTGGTTCGGCTTGGGTGGGAGAGTGTGTGTGGGTGGGTTGTGTACGGGGCAGGTGTTGGGCGAGTATGTGGCAAGTAAGCTACGCACCCATACTCCATGCGTTGCGCATGCACCCTTAGTCCATGCGTTGCGCATGTACCCATACTCCATGCGTGTGGGGCTACACAAGGCATTGGTAACTCCTTCCTCCCCGAAACCCTTCCTTCCACTCGTGCATGCAGCGGTTGCAGCGGCCGCTGCAAATGAAGACGCTGGTGCTGCACAAGGCACGGCACCGATGTAACCGGCAGATCTGGCACCAGGTGGAGGGGCGGGTGAGTCCTGTGGAGGGGTGATGGGGGGAGGGAGTGACGGGGGTGAGTGAAGGGGCGGGTGAGTGGAGGGTTGGGGTGAGTGGAGGGAGGGAGTGATGGGGGGAGGGGCGGGTGAGTGGTGTGGTGGAGATGGTTGTGTGGAAGGGGATGAGTGATGCTGCAGGGTATTCTCAAAACTCAAACTACCCTGCAGCGTGAGTGACGGCGTAACTGCCTCATCTTTCCTCCCCTCCTCTTCCCCGTGCCACCACCAGCCAGCGTTCAAAGAGCATCCATGGGCGCGCGACATTCTCTCCTTCCCCCACCGCATCCGCTGTGTGAGGAGGAGCAGAGCACCGCCGCCACACCCAAGACGCCACTGACGCGCTCCTGGCGGCGCTCCGGGAGGATGACGTGGCAGCTGCTGACGTCATTCTCGTGTACAAGCTTGCTGACGAGGCGTACTTTCTGCCGGACGTTGTCGGGGTGGGTGATGAGGGGTGGTGGGGGGTGGTGATGGGTGGTGAGGGGTGGTGATGGGTGGTGAGGGGTGGTGGGTTTGGCGGGAGGTGGTGGGGCACTGGGGATGGGGTGTGGCTGGCAGGGGTTTTGTGGCGTTTGGGGGTTGGGATGTAGGTGGTGGTGTTGGTGTGGATGGGTAGTAGTGGGGGTTGGGGTTGTGGACAAAAGGCCGAGAATCTAGAGGAATGTTTGACACTCTTTGTTTTCTCTCCTTAACGTTCGCTTTCCTTGCTCGCTGTTCGCCTCCTCCCCTTTTTTCTCCCGTTCCACCTCTCCCCCACCTTCCCC